GGAGCAAAGCTGTGGAGGACTTGGGCGCTCTCCCCACCCCAATCTCCCTGGTCTGCTGGGGGGCGGTGCAGCTAGTGCCCCCCCCCTCAGCAGACCAGGCTTTTCTTGCCTACCCCTGGGGCAGAGCAGCTGGGGTGCTGCTGGGTTGCTCCAGTAGCGCGGCTCCTCGGCGCTACTGGAGCAATCCAGCAGCACCCCAGCTGCTCTGCCCCAGGCGTCCCCAAGTCAGCTGCTGCTGAAACTGACCAGCAGCGGCTGAATCAGGACGCCTGGGGCAGAGCAGCTGGGGTGCTGCTGGGTTGCTCCAGTAGCGCGGCTCCTCGGCGCTACTGGAGCAATCCAGCAGCACCCCAGCTGCTCTGCCCCAGGCGTCCCCAAGTCAGCTGCTGCTGAAACTGACCAGCGGCTGACTACAGGAAGCCCCAGGCAGAGTTGCTCTGCCCCAGGCTTCCTGGAATCAGCCGCTGATCAGTTTCAGCAGCAGCTGACTTGGGGACGCCTGGGTTTCTTAAGTTGAATCTGGATGTAAGTCAGAACTGGCGTCCAGATTCAGCCGCGGTTGAAACTGATCAGTTTCAGCAGCGGCTGACGCCAGTTCCGACTTACATACAGATTCAACTTAAGAACAAACCGACAGTCCCTATCTTGTACGTAACTCGGGGACTGCCTGTATTGTGCAGTAAAATCGTTCTAAATTATGGACAATGCCCTTCATTCTACAACTGTTAAATATACATGTTAATTAATTAAATATGAAAATGAATAATACCATCCACGTGTTGAAGCCACTTATGTTAATTTTGATATTCAGTTTATTTTATTTTATGGTGTCCCTCATACTTTTCAGTTTTTTTATGCCATAGATTTGTTTACTGATTGCATATAAATGTTCTGTAGCTACTTTCAGAGGGAAGATGGTCCTTATATGGCGCTTTGGTAGGCAGTGAAGATAGTTAGTGGGGTTGCCAGATGGTTTCAACAAAAATACCGGACATACTTGACATTACATCACAATCGACATTACAACTTATTTAGAAAATACCGGACACTTATATTTTCTCATTTATATTTTCTCAATTTGTTTCCCGCACAGAAAGCTCAAATACTGGACTGTTTGGTTCAAAACCGGACACCTGGCAATCCTAATAGTTGGGGATTATGCAATAAGAACATGAGCTGAATCCTTCTTGTAAAATGATCAGTGGCGAAACAGTTAACATTTCAGAAATAATATCCCATTGAGATGAAAGGGAGAATGCCTACTTATCAGGACTGTGCCCCGTTCCCCCAGGCTATTTGCAGGTTCAGAAATGCTTTACTGCAGGGTTGGGGAACCTAAGGCCTGGGAGCCAGATGTAGCCCTCAGCTTGCTGGGATCCAGCTCCTGAGGCTTGGGGCTCCTCCCAGTATTGGGGAGCCTGTGCTGATGCTCTAGCCCCCAACCGTCCCACTATGGGGGTGGAGTGCACAAAATCTCCTAGGCTGGGCCCCCCTAGGCTCTGGTATGTGAGGAGTGTCTTTCTCCTTCTCAGTTGGTGGCCATGTCATTGAGGGTTTGCAGGGGTTGTGTTTTTTGCTTTTCACTTGTGTGTGGCCCCTGACATTTTTTATGAGTCAGTGCCCCCCAACACAAAAAAAGTTCCCCACCCCGCTTTACTGCATAGGTTACATTTGATTTCATATTTACAAGATTTCCTTCAGAACCTGAAGGTCCAGAAATAGTTTTTTTTTCTCTTTAAATGAAAGCTTAGATAATAGAGCATAGTTTTGTGAGTGACTTCCAGAGCCATGGGCTATAGGCTGGCTTATAAATACTTTTGAAAAGTTATTCTCTCTAGAAATCTATAGCTGTCTTCCCTGGGGGCAGGGGACTGGACTCAATGACCTCTTGAGGTCCCTTCCAGTCCTAGTTCTATGAAAAGGGAATTCCTTCCTCTGATATGTAGCCAGAGGCTCTGATCGCTGCTTACTTGGTTTTCTGTCTGATCCCTCTTTCCTTTCCAATCCCCAGAGGAACTCTTCCACCAGCTGTCTCAGGCCTTAGCAGTTCTAACCGATGCAGCAGCAAGGGTAAGGATGTCCATCCCTGGGACATGGTGGCAGCATATGTTACCTCTGTCTGCCAAATATCTTCTTCTATATATTTTAGAGAGTTTGTACATCTGTCTGTGACCATCCATTTGTCTGTGAGTCTGTTTGTTCGAGAACGCCTCCTAACTGGTAAAATCTCGGCCCACCAAATTCGGTACACAGCTTCCTCTTATAACTTCAAGTAAGATCAGGGTTTGGTTGTGCCAGGACAATGGGATGTGATTGTCAAATGAGAAGGAAGGGATGTGGGAGCAGGAACAGTTACTCACAAAGGACCTTGGGGAGCAGCAAGTGTCCCAACCAACAGCACAGCACCCGCTATCCCAGCCTGCCCCAGCCAGCCTGGAGGAGAAGCCAGCGGTCGAGCTGCATAGCTGTTGTTCCCTCCCCACCTTGGGCTGGTCATAAGGAGAAATCAGCAGATGGCCTGTGCTGTCCCCACCCCAGGTAAGCCCTGGAGAGAACACCTCACCCCAAGCTGAAGCTGTCAGATGGCCTGTGCAGTCCTTTTCATCCCTGCTGCTCCTTGTTCTGTCATCCATCAGTACTGAGAACAGCCTCTCTCCATCTTCTCTGGAACCCCTCTTCAGGTAGTTAAAGGCTGTGATCAAATATCCCCTCACTCTTCTCTCTGCATATGAAATAAGCCCAAATTCCTCAGCCTTTCCTCATAGGTCATGTGCTCTAACCCCTTCATTTGGTTTAATCAATAGAGTTTATGGCTCTTTTCTGTAAGATTTACATGTTCTAAAGTGTGTATCTAGCCTCCGTGAGGTCAGATGGGGATAGGTACTGTATAAGAACCTAGACAGATATTCTTGGTCTGATACACTGTGGGGGTGGCGGAGTGGCATCTTTGGCTAAGGTCATGTTTACCAGCATATTGAATTGGGACATCACCCAAAGTTTAACAAAAAAATTAAGGGCCTGGTTTGAAGGGAGACTGAGTACTGCAATTCCTCTTGAGCATCCACAACACTCCCTAAAATCAGATCATGCCTGTAAAAAATAAGTAGGCAGGTAGACCCCTTAATTTCATGTGTTTAAAGACACATTTAGGGAACAGTAAGTATCTTCTTCAATTTATAAAGACAAAAATGTCTGAAAAAAGTAAGATCATGTTGCTTTTATTCTGAGTTAATATTTGCTAATACAAAGTACAACTTTCAATACATGTGAGATCTCTTGTCCAGAGTCTGTCAAGGTGGCATAACTGAAATGAGTGGAGGAGATTAACTTATAACCTTGAACCCCAGTTCATGTAACTGATATCTGTCCTTGCACTAAAACAACTCCACAAGCTACCAATTTAAGGTCCATAAATAATCCAGAAATATAAAGAGAGATAATTTAAAACCAAATGTTTACCGCAAGCCAATAACTGTGTCTAGTTAAGAGAAACAGAAAGGCTTATCAAAATTCCAGAAGATAAGCTTTTAAAACAATAAATAAATCTCTGTGAAAGACTGGCCAAAATTTTAGTTTATTCTCTCTTAGATGATGGTATTCTTGATTCCAAGAACTTATCCTCCATTTTTAAAGTGTATGAGTGGGAGCGTGAGGAATTCCGCTTAGAAAACCCAAATATTCATGAAGTAAAACACCACCAGTTTTTCCTCCAGTATTTAAAATAAAGACCATGCTTATTGTTCATAAATGTATGTATAGAAGTGAACAGTCCCACATCGCTCTGTCAAACTAAGCATGTGCAGGAATCTGTGCAGAATCAGCACCTTATTTACCACACAGCAGTGTTGTGAAGATCATTGGGCAAGATACTTAACTCATGTAAAGCATCATAGCTCCATTGGTCTCAGTGAAACTTTGCAAGTTTACACTAGCTGAGGATCTGGACCTAATGTGCTATATAAATACAAAATTATTATTAATTACAGTTAGTGTAGAATTCTGCCATTAACTGGTCAGACACTATTTTCCAATTCTAGACAAGCTATGCATTCTGCATATAAAGTCTTTCCTAGAAAATAATTGTTTGTTTTAAACTTTAAAGTAAGGCAAACCTGATCTCTCACCCAACAGATTATTATTCTACACCATTTGGAAAATGACCTTCCTCACCAATGTTATCAGTGCCTTCAATGGCCTCTTTTCCTCCCACTGAAGATGGGTCAAACTTTCCATGCTGCATCTTGAGGTTCTTAGCCTGGGTGTTGTCATAATTTCAAAATAGTTTTTAACATCTTGAGTTTTTATGGATGCCGCCAGCAATGGCTAGAAAACTCTCCACCTCTAATTTCTAAATGCTTCGATAACTGATCTTTACTCTGTTCATAACCCTGTATTTTCCCTCTATTTTATATGGATTCATATTCTGTTGTTTATCTCATAGGCTGCATATGACAAAGTGAGAAAAGCCAAGAAGCAGGCAGCTGAAAGGACTCAAAAACTTGATGAGAAAAGAAAGAAAGTAAAGCTTGGTACGGTAATAAACATCATTCCCTTTTGCCCTAAGGAGAAGTTTCAGATGCTGGGGTGCTTATATTTCTTCCACTTGTACAATTTTCTGAGTTAAGCTTCTGTCAGGCTAGGTCTACACTACAGAGTTTTGTTGGAAAAACAGCCGTTTTTCTGACAAAACTCGCAGGGCGTCCACATCTCGGAAAACCAGCCGTTTTTCTGACAAAATTCGCAGGGCGTCCACATCTTAAGTGAGTTTTTGCCCCAAAACTTGAAAGAACAGAAGGGTTTTTGCGCATTGATAGTCCTCTTTCTACAAAGAAGGCTTTTTGCAAAAGAGTTCTTTGGTGAAAAGGCGTGTGGGGATGGGGAAGAGGGGTTTTTGTGCAAGAAATGGCCTCTAGGGAAAAAAAACCAGGTGCCCTGGTGGCCATTCCGTCCAAGATAATCAGAATATCTCTAGGTGCTGTCTGCTGGCCCCTCTTAAAGCTGCAGTACCCTCACTGTGTGGCTCTCTTCTGCTGGCATTGCCACCCATGGCGGAGCCACAAGCCCCTCGAAACCTCCCTGGCCCTTCCAGGGAGCAGCCCCAGGGGTCCCAGGATCCAGCCCCCGGGGGACCAAAAGACACGCCCTGACTTGGTCAGGACCAGAGACTGACGCCCTCCTCCTGCTGGCCCCTCTTAAAGCTGCAGTACCCTCACTGTGTGGCTCTCTTCTGCTGGCATTGCCACCCATGGCGGAGCCACAAGCCCCTCGAAACCTCCCTGGCCCTTCCAGGGAGCAGCCCCAGGGGTCCCAGGATCCAGCCCCCGGGGGACCAAAAGACACGCCCTGACTTGGTCAGGACCAGAGACTGACGCCCTCCTCGAATTCTGGGGCGAGGAGGAATCCCTGCAAGATCCCTAGGCCA